GAGATTCTCAGGCCTACAAAGCCACGACACTAGTGGGCCTCATGAAGGGCTAGTGATATCGGACACGGCCCGTTCGAGCGACGCGAGGTAAAACATCAACGGCGGAGAGAAATTTCGAGTATGACATGACACGCCCGATTTTTTATATGTTGACGTGAATGGACACGTTTTCATCTCAGTTCAATTATTTGGCAAGTAGAGTCATAATTAAGATGCTCCGAATAGATAGGAATTGCCAATCGATTATGGCACGAGAACACGAATCGCTAGCCTTCCAAGACAATTGGTGGGTCTAAGTACCTTTTCCACCCTCTGATTGTTAATTGGTGGTCTTCCGAATGGACTGCAGTGGCCCAATTTAGAAAGTTATAGACTTGGCAATAAAAGTTAGGGTTAATACCACGAAAAATCTTAAACTGTTACACTTGTGACACATTTACCTCAAACTATTTTTTTGACCATAAAAAATCCCAAACTGGTACACCTGTGACAATTTTACCCCGAACATACCACAAAAAACCCAAAACTTGTACACATGTGACAATTTTAGCCCAACTAATTTTTAATATTATTTTTATATTTTTTTGAATTTTTTCTTTTTTCTTTTCTTTTTTTTTTCTTCACTTCAACCTCTAGCCAGGTCGCCTGACCAGCGACCGGCCTGTAAGCTGAAGCCTAAGAAGGGCCGCCTCGGCACCGCCGGGCGAGGGCCGCCCCTGCTCGACTCGGCAGGTGGTGACCCTCGCCGGATCTAGCGAGGGCGGCCTCGCCCGACCTCGAGGCAAGGGCCGTCCTCGCCCGCCTGTGCCAGCTAGGGTCGCTCGCCCGACGCCGGCGAGTGGCGCCGCCCGACGCAGCGAGGGTCGCCTCGCCCGACGCAGCGAGGGTCGCTCGCCCGACGCAGCGAGGGTCGCTCTTGCCCGGGCGGCGAGGACGCCCCTCGCCCTCGCCAAATCCGGCGAGGCGCCCTCGCCCGAGCCGGGCGAGGATTGCCCTTGCCCGGGCGGGTGAGACCCGCCTCGCTCGACGCCGGCGAGGGCGGCCCTCGCCCGACGCAGCGAGGGTCGCCTCACGGATCTCGGGCGAGGACGGCCTCGCCGACGCCGGCGAGGGCGGCCCTCGCCGGCTTCCGCCTCTGGCCAGTCGCCGGCGGTCCGGGGTTGAAGATAAAGAAAAAATAAATAAAAGGAAAAAAAATAAATAAAATAAATAAAAATTCGAAAAAAATAATATTAAATTTTTAATTCAGGGTAAAATTGTCACATATGTACGGTTTGGGGTTTTTTGTGGTAAATTCGAGTAAAATTGTCACATGATGTACCGGTTTGGGGTTTTTGATGGTCAAAAAATAGTTCAGGTAAAATTGTCACAGTGTCGCATTTGGGGTTTTTATGGTCAAAAAAAAATAGTTTGGGGTAAATGTGTCACAAGTATACCAGTTTAGGATTTTTCGTGGTATTAACCCTAAAAGCTACTAATGTCGAATCATGGATGCAATTTAAGGTTTGTATGGATTGCCTTTTTTGCTTTTTACATTTTTATTTAATCAAAATCTTAAGGTCTATGCATTTTCGTGCTTTTCTTTTAATATAAGAAATACTTGAAAGTCACTAAACGCAAATGTTCACACATAAATTTAAATATAAATCTTTTCATAATTTTTTGAAATAAGAGTAACATTTTACTATGACCTTATTGATAATTATCATGTCGGGTCACGAGCCCGTATAAATTCTTTAGATTGTTTGAGCAATTAAGCGTTTGATTTGGATGTATCGTGTGTCCATATCACATTGTCTTTCGGGGGGCACGCTTGCCACTTTATAGGTGGAAACCTCATATGATGTACGCAAAAAGGAGGCAGTTTATGCGTATTCATGAGGTTTAGTCGAGTTGAAAGATTCAGGTGTTTTATACTAGAAAGAAGAAAAAGAAACTAGTAGCCGCTCATATTGTCGGCTTTTGCTTCCTCTTCCATAAACATTTCAAAATATGTAGTGTTTAGGAAGTAGAGACCGGGAGATGTGTCCCAATATATTTTGCTCAGTTCATTTCAATAGTTCTATTCGTGTCTTGTAATATATACGGAATCGTCAGACGGCTAACAAGACATCGATAACCCACCCATGCTCACTCGGGAAATCAGGCTCGCTCCGCACGGATCTGGACATTCGGTCAGAAAGTCTAATCCGACCCGATCAAACACGAACCAAGACCCACCCATTCCAAAAACTACTAATGTCCATGATCAGACCCGAGAAATGAAGTTACCCCCAAACCCGAGGTCCCAACACAACACCGTCCCGGTTCTGTCCGCGATCGAATCTAGTTTCTCCATATCTCCTCATCTACGAGGGAATTTTTTCCGTTTTTACCTTCCACCTGAACCTCGTTACTTGTCGGGCTTCACACGTTAATCTCAAAGGTCAAACTCATGTAGCATCGTGGCCAAAATTTGACTTCTCTGAAGGAGCAATTTGAGAGGAGATGATGAAGAGCATTATCTTGTTGACCGAGTCAAAGTGCACGTCCTTTTCATTACCAAAGTATAGTATTTATTTCCCCATCGTTAGGTGACGATCGTATCAGGAAGCGGGGACAGGAAAGCAGGAGAAAAAATACTAAAAGAATGGATGGCGATCTTGGCGTGGGTCCCCGGATTCGTCCATCGTTGTTTTGGTAGGTGTAATAGATTTGCGGCTACGTTTGGTTCCGACACGGGGAACAAAAGGCATTCCAATCGTTATTCATTAAAAAGGGTTAGGCCCGTTTGCCAAGTTGCCAAATAATAATAATTTATATTTTTTTGTTCTCAAAATCAATTTTAGAATACAAATTCGTTTGATTAATTTTTTGTTCCCGGAAATAAATTTGCCAAAATTTATTTTCAAAATCAGTTTTGGAACAGAATCAAGAAACAGAAAAAAGTAGCTTCTTGTTTTCAGAATTAGTTTTGGAACAAAATCAAGAATCAAGAAATTTTTATTTTTATTTTTCTTCTTCTTCTTCTTCTTGGCCTGTGGCCGGCGAGGACTGGACCCTCCCCGCCTGGGCGAGGGCGGCTCACGGTCTGGGCGAGGGCTGCCCTCGCCCACGCCCTCGCCGACCTTGGCCTATGGCCAGTCGTCGGCACCGGCGACCAGCCATGGTCAAGGAAAGGGAAGGGGAAGAAAAAAAAAGAAAAAAAAGAAAGAAATATTAAAAAATTCAAAATATTATAAAAATATTATTAATAAAAAGAAATTTTGTGCAATTATCAAATGCATTTCTATTCTTTTTCTATTTCAAGAATAGAAATTTTGGGCACTTACCAAACACCTTCAAATACTTAGAAATTATTTCCGAGCACGGAATAAAAAAGAATTATTTCTGAGCAGAATCAGCTTTCGGGAATATAATGATTGCCAAACGGACCCTGATACTGCCACAAAAAATCCAAATTGGTACGCCTGTATCACACTTACTTATGTCATAAAATCCTGAAATCAATATATTAGTATCACATTAACCCCAAACTAGTTTTTGTATAATAAAAAATCCAAAATTGGTATACTTGTGCTACATTTATCCCAAACCGGTGCACCATAAGATTTTTAACCACAAAAATTACTTTGGAATAAATGTGGCAAATAATTACTTTTGGATTTATGTAGCATGGGGTACCTCAATGTGACATGAATATACCAGCTTGTGAGTTTTTATGATATAAAGATTAGTTTATGGTAAATACGGTATATGTGTACCGGTTTGAGATTTTTTGTGGTATTAACCCTTCATAGGATCGGTACCGATTTCAGATGTATTACGAACTGTTGATCTCATCTTTTTTTGTCTCCCTCCCTCTTGCTTCCGCAACAAGGGCCCATTCGGATAGATTTTTCTCTCGTCTAAATTTCATGGCGGATGCACTTTAACTTTTTTTATTTATAATTCGAAACATTCAATATATAAATATCGACAAGTAAATTCACGCATAACTCGTTCATTGTTTTTTAGAAATTTGAATAGTATTTTATTTTGTAAAAATACAAACAGACACGTATCAAATTGTAATCTCAATGCTAGAAAGAAATTATACACAAACAAGTCAGTCGTAAATGTACTTTGGATCGATAAAAATGATATTTTTAAAATTAGAAATAAGAGTCAAAATCATCGATACATACGATCGAATATACATTAGCAAGGAGACTAAACGAAGTCATCTCCGACAAAAAAAAAAAAAAACAACAACGCACGAAGGTTTCGTCTTAAACGACGAGGGGCGGGCAAACAAACGAAGTAGTCACTCAATTCCACATTCTATCTTTATGATCGATGATGCTCACTAGGACCCATGCCATATATCTTATGCTTTAAAGAGCATAAGAATCTTCGGATGGCCTCCTTAATTACGAATCAACAAAGGTCATGTGCGACGAAGTTATGATATATAGTTTTTTTCAATGCGGTCCATGAACTTTAACTCAATATACAATACCATCCTCGAACTTTTGATTTATTCGATGCGGTCCTTGAATTTTCAGTACATATTCAAATTCGCCTTTGGACCATATGGAAATGTTCATTGTTGTTTATGAACTCAAATTAGTGGAATGATAACATTGGTTATGTCTGAGGATTAGTCTGAACATTTACTAAAAATTTAGGGATCATATTAAATAAATTAAAAATTTAGGAACGATATTGCACATTGAGATAAAGTGCGTGAATCATATTGAACAAATTGAAAATTTAAGAACCGAAATGTAAAGCAAGAAGAGAGTATTCCCACCGCTTGTGGAAGACAAAGATAAGAGGGAATTGGAAGTGCCGGACGTGCCGGGTATCGACACGTTAAAACGAGGAACACATCCGTGATCCCCGTTTCATGAAATCGGGAATCGCCCGTTGGGTCCCCGGAATCAGTCCCCGTACTCAATCATTTCGCTGCAGCGAACGTACGAACCACGCGCCTGCCTGCCTGCCTGCCTGTCGTCTTCCCTTTCCCCCATTTTTTCAACCATTTTGACCTTTCAAAATCCCCCCCTCGGAAATCCCAAAGCCGAACATCGAAGCCACGAGCTCGAAGGATCTCCAGAGCACGAGCAAGCAGCAGCAGCAGCGATCGCCGATGGGAGCCGCCCACATCTGGAACGCCACGGAGGTCGCCGGGGAAGCCGGCGGTGGCGGCGGCGGCGGCGCTATTCCCTCCTCGCCGCTCGCCGTCGACACCTCCCTCTCCCTCCCCGAGATGTCCCCTCGCGTCGTGTGCGTCCTCCGCTCGGCTTCCTCGCATTTCCGTCGCTCGTCGCGATTTCGTTAGCCTCTTGGGGTCTGGTCTCGGAGGAATCGGAGGCTTTCTCCCTTCCGATCCTCCGACTCCGATTGCGTGCGGTTTTGCTTCTTCGCCGTTTCGGCCGAGCTGATGTCTTTGTCGCGCGAGATTCGGTTCTCTCGGGACTTGGACGCGCGTTTCTGCTCGTTTGTTTCTCTGTTTTTCTTTTTTTCGCGAGCTTGAGGTTGCGTTGATTTGCTTTTTGAGCAGGGAGCTGTGCAAGGATTTGTTCGCGGAGTGGTCGAAGCTCGACGATTCTCGTTTCGCCGTGGAGACCGTGTCCGGCGGCATCACGAATCTATGTGAGTTTCTAAACATCAGCTGTGGTGTGGTAATGAGTCGTGTGCATCGATGATTCCCTGTTAGTGTGTATGTTGCGATCATCGGCGAGGTTTGCTGGTAGGGATGGATGATTAGCCGTGACTGGTTTTTGAGTTTATCCTAGTCGGGGTCCTTATTGAGGATTTGGTGCAGTGTTGAAGGTGTCGGTGAAAGAGGAAAGCGGAAATGTGGAATCTGTTACTGTCAGATTATACGGGCCTAACACCGAGGATGTCATTGATCGCGCAAGAGAACTCCACGTGAGTCTTTATTCCGAATAACTATGTAGTATGTTAACAATTTGTGGGTCGATCATTTCCTTCTTCCTTGCGTTCTAGTCGACTGGACTTGTTTCCCTGAGTGCTTTAATAGAGAATTCTGTAATCTTTCCTTTAGTTAAGTTTTTTCCTTCTTGATCTCTTTGGGATTCATAAGGTTCTTAGCTGACATAAATGGAAAATGTTGAAGTTGGCATCTGTTACAGCAATACATCTTTAAAGTTTTCCAAGGGAGACAGTTGGATGCACCTCTCCCGAATCCAGACACATTGTAATCGTGCAAATGCAAGCCGATAGAATCTAGAGCCGAAACTAGTCGGGATAGTGTCAAAAGGACTTATATGGTTTGAGGGATCCATTTCGTTATTTCTATTGTGGTTACAATAACTAGTCTAAGAAATGTGATGATTATGATGCTAACCTGTGAGAGCAATGTAGATGAATGGATCACATACAATTCCTTGAATTACTCACACACGTAATTATTGCTAGACAAACTCAGAACTCCTTCCACAGTGATTTGGCACATTCGTTACCATTTTGTCTGTAGGACTGCTATGACGAACGCCCCAGTTTCTTCAACAGACTTGGAAAAAGTAAAATGCTTCTAATACTTATGGTGCTCAGTTACTTCTGTGTGTAATGACGGCCTTCAATGCTGTACTCTGCTTAATAATTGCTTAACGGATTTGTTTTAGGCTATCAAGTACCTTTCGGCTGCAGGATTTGGTGCGAAGTTGCTTGCAGTTTTTGGGAATGGCATGGTTCAGTCATTTATAAATGCTCGTACACTCACTCCAGAAGGTATGAATTTATCATTCAGCATACTAGAGAATTCCAGATGATGTTGTGGATTTCAGAGAGTTGCTCTAGAAAGTAACGGTCCATATGAAATGGTCACAGTTCCACAGGTCTAAAGTGGTTTCAAAATCCCACTGACCATCTTTCGAAATAAGGCCTTTGGAAGGGGATAGTGATCTTGGATATATACCTGTCAGTGTCAGCTCTTCAGACTAACATGAGAAAGTTTGTTGTTTTCTGGTCCAGTCTTTCAAATTTGTTTGTTCGCCTAATTTTCTTCTTTTCCTGAGTTGGGGTCTTTGTTGTAGCCACTATGAAAACTAATTCAATTGTTAAATCTGTTTGACTTTGGATATCACAACTTTATGTGAGTTTTTGTGCCGATTCTTTTGAACTTGTAGTTATAGGATCGTTTTCTTAAAATAGACTTTTCAAAACCTGTATATCCTGGCAATAATATATGAGCTCCCATGAAGTCTGATAACATATTAATAATGAGTTCCCATGACTTATGACTTGTTGCTCGACATCATGTTCAATTGTTTATTTTCCACCTCATGCAACAGATATGAGAAAACCAAAGCTGGCAGCTGAAATTGCTAAGCAGCTGCACAAATTCCATCAAGTGGAAATTCCAGGTTGTAAAGAACCTCAACTGTGGAATGATATATTCAAGTTTTTCGAGAAAGGTTATTCCTCTTTAGCAGATCACTTTCTCTTTTCTTCATCACTTCATGGAAAAGTTATTTCACTGTTGCACTCCGTCAAATGTTTCTTTTTAACAAGATGCTTTTAACTTATTGTTTCTTTTGAGTCATGTTTGTGCCACCTTTTCTGATGTAGCATGTGATCTCAAGTTTGATGATAATGAAAAGCAAAGGAAGTACGAAACAATATCTTTTAAGGAAATTCATGATGAACTTCTTGAGCTAAAGGTAAATTCCTCTCTTAAGGAGTTTTTCTAAATATCCCAACTCTTACATGATATATGCTGTGGGATAACTACTACATCAATAACGTCTGAAACATATATTTTCATTCAAGCTCTTTTCAAATTGTCCATTTGGTACGCCAAAAAGTATGCCTGAAATTATTAACTGCTTAATACTGCAATGAGTATATGATGTACGACTTGCTGAGAGGTCTTAGCATGTCATGTCATGAGTTTCTCACTGGCTTTCACATAATATCATGCAGTTTGTGCTAGGATGTGAGGTACTCTAATGCTCCAGAATCGTCTCCTGAGTTACTAACAATTTCTTGTCTTTTTTATGCTTTTAGGGAAGGTTGCCTTTAAGAGCAAAAATTAGTATTCCCTGGTGTTCATAAGTGTTAAATCAATTTTATCCTCAATGATCAGTACATTATATATATATATAAAACAGACTCTTGTGCTCTTATGTGATGAAATCTGCTGCTTGATGGTGGAAACAGGAATTAACCGGCCTTCTTAATGCTCCTGTGGTATTTGCTCACAATGACTTGCTCTGTGGCAATTTAATGCTCAATGATGAGGAAGGTACACATTGTTGCTTGGGGTGATAAATTCTATTTTTCATTCTTTCATCTCTGTTCTTGACTGGCATGAACCGAACAGTTGTTGTCAGAAACATTTAGTTTTTCCTCCTCCTATTCCAATATATCTTTTGTTTGCGTCATGTTCTCTTGATCTAACTCGGACTCCATGAGCAATGAGCATGCCCAAGTAGACTGGTCACATTGAGACACGCGCATGACATTCTCGCTGGTGGCTTTTACTTTCTTACACTTAATTTTTCTTTCTTTTCATACATTGTATTAACTTTTCTGGTTATTTCTGCTCACTTTTCAGGGAAACTCCACTTCATTGATTTTGAGTATGGGTCATATAATTACAGAGGGTATGACATAGGAAATCACTTCAATGAATATGCAGGCTATGAATGCAACTACAGTTTGTATGTTCCTCAACTTATGCCTTTCCATGTCATAACAATTGTATGAGTTGATGTTATGTGACTTATGTTCTTGGTAATCAAACTTTGACATTTTGCAGGTACCCAAGTAAAGATGAACAGTATCATTTCTTTGGGCACTATCTGATGCCAGACAAACCGCAGGAGGTATCTCAGGATGAACTCATGCATTTCATTTTTTACCATTTCCAGTAACCACAATCATGCTTATGATTTGTAGAGGGACTGGTGTGACAATCTCGAATTATGTTGATTATCTTCATTTGGAAGTAACTACTTTCCAGTTGTGGGCGTAATCCCATGTTAGAACCAGAAAAATAAAATAAATGAAATGCCGGGGGGAGCTTGTGTACTCGGTCATCTGGCTGATGGTGTTGTATACATGTCATGTTGCCGATGCTTCATATCCAATTACTCTCTAATGTGCTTTAAGTCAACTCTCAATTTGATGATCTATGTTACCCTTTATTGCCATACTGTTTCTCTATGGTGCAGCGTCTGTCTCCTGTTATTGACGCAGATTCTTCTGGGTACATATGTATTTTCATGAGATGGAGCCTATAGCATACGGCATTTTATTGCTTACTTATTCAAATACTCAATTTGTCATAGCGTCATAGTAGGTTTTCATTTATTCACTGTTCCTGCTCGATTGTTCCGTAGTCTAATGCCGCTGCTATAGAATTTGAAATCGGCTGTTTACTTTACCTGTCAGATCCTCATTCCACTATCACAATCTCAAAGTTGAAATACTGCGCTTCTTTCTTGATAGGTGTCTGATAAAGATCTCGAAGCTCTGTACATCGAGACCAACACATACATGTTGGCAGCACACCTATTTTGGGCATTATGGGGATTAATCCAGGTACTACCGACTATTCTCATGTACTGAAATCATCATCGACGTTGTGCATCGCCTCTCAAGTATGCTCACATAAGAGCTGATGATCCTACAGGCAAAGACGTCGCCCATCGATTTTGATTACATGGAATATTACTTTCTGCGGTATAACGAATTCAAGAGGCAGAAGCAGAGTTCCATCTCATTGGCCAGAAGCTACCTTATGGGATCTTGAGCCGTGGGGGTGTTTGTTTGTACACCCACACCTAGCCGTCTGTAGAAGCTTTTGGATAGATTTTTCCACATTTAGGACTCGTACCGTAATGCTGGAAAACTAGAGATACACACTCTGGAAGAAATTGCTAGAAATCTTGGGACGCGGTGTCGTGCATAGTTGTAGCCTTGTTGTTGTGCCTTATTCGTTCCCTATTCTTTTTTCGCTTATAAAGATGTCAGATGTTCAAACTCAACACCTTGAAGCATAAATAGCGATTTACTCTCTTTTGTTCCCCTTTCTTTTGAATTGCCTCGTCGTTAAATGTTTCTGCAAGCTGCAATTGAAAACGTTTTGCTATGGACTTCTGATGAATTTAAAAGAACATGATAAAACCCCGGCAAAAGCAGTTTGTGGAGGAGTGTTACTGCATTAAACTTAGAACCAGCAAACCTCGCTTCGGGAACTACGGAATAAATACATCAAGCAGCATCAAGCAGAAACAATCTTCTCAAATGTATCACGAAGTACGGATCTGGGGAACCATGCCGGATTAAAAGTCTTGTATTGCCAATCGAAAAACAAATAAACATGGAAGGCACTCCAAAAGATTGAACAGCCGAGACAGGATCTCTCGGGACATCGCGATAATCACCTAGAAGTATTGGCAAAGATCAAAAGTCACTTGATTCGACGAATCGGTTACTGGCTATTTTTACTCAGGTAACCTGACACCTGGGTTTCCTGTATATCACAAATGCAGGAAGACGACGAGGACAAGGCAGTCCACAAGCCACGGAGGCCAAGAGAGCAAGCAGGTGCAAATTCTGTTCCTAGACTTTTTAAGGCTCTGTTTGCTTATTCAACGGATAAGAGAGAGGGTAGACGTCTCCAGAATGCCCTTCATGAACCATATCGGACTTACTTTTGACGATCAGGTCAAACCAGTTCACAGCATATTTAATATAACCAGTGTTGAATAGGGAACATAAACAAGGTCTACAAAAGCAAAACCCGAAAGTCAAACAAGCTAACTACAGATGAGCTTTTCATCACTTGATCCCCGTCCTCTACCCAAAGCCAGCCATGTATCTTCCAAAATTTCTTTTCCAAGCCCCGAAAGGTAAAACATCCACGTATATATATAGCGACTCTAAAGTGGGACATTTGAGCTTCAATTTGGAGTGCACATCCATTTAACATCGTCAAATCCGATTTTGACAAGCTTTTGGCCTCATCTGGACGCAGTTCCATATAGCCAAGGCAAGAAATTTCCGAAAATACATAACCATGGAACTGAGTTTAGCGTACAGTTTCTAGGCTTGAAGAACCTGGCAGTGAACAATGTGACTCTTCAGGCGGTTCCTCCCCGCGAGGTTAGACCAGAGATTCGTGACCATGGTCCTTAATTGGCTTTTTCCTGCTATAGTTTCCCACAAATGTTCAGCAGTTGCACCCCTGCCACCGTCAGATTTTGAAACATCAACGACAGAAATGCTCATGTTGTTTCTGATGACGCACAGTTTCCCATTGAGAGGAACGAGTGCAGCCGCCTCTAGAGCCTGGGAATTTCCCAAATGCATCTTACTGTCAATGTGCTTACTCCAAGAATCTGTCACTTCATCGTAAACCCTCAATTTGCATCCGTCCTTGCAATCCAAAGCATAGAGGTGCCCATTAAAGGAGACACTGGGGTTTCTCCAGCCGGCGACCATTCCATCGTACACTGGGAACCAGCTATCCGTATCTGGTTGGTAGACCTCGCTAAGAACCTGCCGGTGTGACCCGAGCCCCTTCAGATACCACTTTCCCTCGTAAACGACGCCAATGAAGGGCACCATGGCCGTGCTCATCTCTGAAATGAAGGACCAACGGTTTCTGTTGGGATCATATACCTCTGCAGACCTCATTGTACGGTGAACACCCTCGTTCTCACCACCAGCTACGTACAAGCAGTTGTTTATGACACATGAACCAAAGAAATGCCGTCTCCGAAGCATGTCGGGGGCACGGTGCCATTTATTTGTCCTCGCACTATAAAAAACCACTCGTCTCATTGAGCCTTTCAGTGGGTCTTTGCCACCGAATAAGTAAAGGTGGCACCCACTTAGGACGGCACATCCGAAACCTAGGGCTTCCGAGTATTCCTTCGGCACTGGAGGGAGAGGCTGCCAGAGCTGATATATGGGATCAAAAGCATGCCAAGAGATCTTCCCATCTCGGTCTCTCTTGATTACGTATACCCATTCTTCTGCGATTCCGAGGCTCTTACGCAAGGAGTAAAAGAAGTTACCCGAAAGAAGCTTGTACCATTTTTTGCAGACTAGGCGGAGCTTACAGTGTTCCACTCGTGGCACCCTAATGAGACACGCGATGGCAAGGTCATCGGGTAGGCCTGGAAGTAGAGGGGATTGATTCCGGCTTCTATCTCCTCGTGCGGGCTTGTTCCTTGTTGGATGAATGGATGGTTTGATGTCGGGCTGGAGACAGAGCTTTGTTCCAGGTACGTACTTTTTGGCCCCAGCAACAGTTTTGAGGCTCGTATCAACTCTACATAGACACGCTGTCGAATCAACCTGAAGACATGCAGGTGAATAGTCATTAACATTTTTCAGCCACTCTTAAGTTATAGGACAGAAGTTCTAGATCATTTGTCTATATGCATTATTAAATGTACACAACACCCAAAACCAATATGCATAATCTACTATATCAAATTAAGATCGAGTTATTGGAAAAGATGATAGACATGACATTCCCACAGTTTCTCGAGAGAAGAACCAGAAGCAACTCTTCTGGAATAACCCTTTCCAAATTCTTGTAAAACTGTTAAATGACCGTCCAACATATGCAATATATTACCATGTAACCTAACTTTATTCTGTCACCAACATTTATCAGGAAGCAGTAGCATAGTAATAGTCACCCTCTGAAGGGAGAAAATTGGGCATCTTTCAAAGAGAAGAAAGACTAGAGCTCCTAAAAGATGATGCCAGAGCCCCGCAAAAATGTGACTCCTTTCTAAATTGTGGTGACGAAGAATATCAGGATCAGATTTAGGAACTATCTCCAAGACAACTTGAAGTTGCTAGATTTACATGAAAATTAATGAACTTCCATTTCGACATAAGTTTCCATCAACAACCAAACTAGGCAAGAAAACAGCATAATCTCCAAGACAAGTTGGACAACATAGAAGCCCTTCACCAAGTCAACAATTTCGATTTAGTTTTCCAAGGACATTCCAGTCAACAGCAGCAGACTGCACCCTCTACACATGAGAATCACATTACAATAATTGCATTGAAATTCACAATCCAACATCTTGAACAACTCCAAGGGCTCAAGTAGCTTCACTCGTTGAACTGCTGAAGCAACAAGAGACAGAGAGCTTGCAATGAAGCTCCCACAAAAATGAGAAAGGGGAGTTGCTACATCTTGCAAAACAGCCCCAAAATGCATCAAACTGTTTGAAGTATGCATGAATTTGTGTTGATACAATTAACAAAGAAACGATTATGCTTAAAGCGTGACCAAAATATAGCAGAGAGAACAATGAAAATAAGAACAAAAGACTTACCAAAGGAGGTTGGATCACCCTATCCATATCTCTTCTCATGATTTAAAACCCCCTACACCAGAAACTCTCACAATCTTCCTCCAATCTCAAACTCCTTCTTCACAGTCTATATTCAAACAGAGAGCACAAGGGCAATTGCGTTGAAATCAGGTAACCAAGAAACTGACCTTCCACCATTCCCCCAATTCCACATTTGTCTCCAAGTAAAATAAAAGAAGATCAAGACCTTTGAGATCGACGTCGTTGACCTTCTAGACCACCAAAAAGGCTCCTAATTTTTCCAACACCAACCCTGTAAACATGAAGACCAAGAAACCAACCAAAAGCTCTCACGGAATCCACGCTCCCTGCAGACGCGGAACACGCCAACCGCCGGTCACCAAAAGCCGAGTAAAGAGACAGCGACTAAACCCACCTCCAAGACCGCGAGCCCAGAAGGAAATGCTCCACAATGGTTCAAGCGGAAACCACCAAACCGACGAAACCCACAAATCTTATCTTCACAAGAGAAGGGAAAAGAGGAGAAAGAAAGAAAACCCAGAAACCGGAATTGGGAGACAGCAAGAAAATGGGGGGGTGCAAAGAGAAAAGCAGAGAAAGTGAGGGAAAGAGACCCCTTTCACCATTAAAATCCCCTCTCTAGTGGAGTTGAGGGCCCATCACACACATCCCCCCTCAAACGGCACAACCTACCAAGCAGAAGAGGGCAAATTTCTTTTCAAGAAAACGGAGGAAAAAAGAGACGAGGGGAGCAAACCTAAACCACTACACACAGAGATAGAAAGAGAGAGAGAGAAAGAGGGAAGGAGAAAGGGAAGGGACACTTGGGTTGGTGGTTCATTGGACAAATGATGAGGAGCAGATCGCAGGTGTGGATGGCAAGATTAGCTTTGGTTGTGTTTGAGGGGGGGAAGGAAGTGGAGGAAACTCGAAAAACAAAAGTGGAAAAAAGAGACGAAGTCAAACGTCAAAACTGCAGCAGATTCCACTTTCTCCGTCTTCCTTCTTTTCATATTAATTTGTGATGTAGAAAAGAGCGAAAAAAGAGTGAATAAGGGTATGTTTAGTAACGTTTCTGTTTCTTTGTTTTTCGTTTTTTTGTTCCTCGGAACAGAAAAAGAATAAATCCGTTTAGTAAAAAAATCTATTTTTTTGTTTAAAACAAAAAGTGTTTTGAAATAGATTTGGAGCAACGAAAAGCAAAAAATATGCTTCTTGTTTCTGGAACAAGAAAAAAGAAACGATTTTTTTTCTAGAATTCTCAAAAAATAAGAAACAATCCATCGGCCGCAACCCGCCCACCGCTACCTCTCGCCGTCCTTCGCCGCCACCTACCGCCCGCCTTCCGCCGCCCGGGCTACACGGCAGCTGCCGCGGCCGCCTCCCGCTTGCCATTGGCCGCCTCTTGTCGTCGACCACTATTCTCCGCGCTCGACGCTTGTCGCCACCCGCCACGGCCGCGTCCTCCACCGTGCCGCCGTGCTCCATCGCCCGACACCGCCGCCACACTGCGGGCCGGCGCCTCCCGCCAACCACCCGACGCCGGCGATCACCCACCACCGGTCGCCGTCCTCCACCACCGCCGGCCACCCACCACCGGACGCCATCCTCCGCCGCCGGCTATTGTGCTCCATCGCCCGACGCCGGCCACCACCCGGCGCTGGCTGCCCTCGGCCGCTAGCCACCTCCCGCCTCTGGCCACCCGAGGCCGGCGGTCACCCACCATCGGCCGCCATCCTTCACCACCGACCGCCGTGCTTCATCGACCGACGATGGCCACCCTCCGCCACCAGCCACCTCCCGCCGTCGCCCCTCGCTGCCGTCACCGCCGCCCGACACCACCGTGCTCCGCCGCTGAACGCCGTGCTCCACTGCCTCCCACCGCCAGCCGCCATCCTCTGCTACCGCCGACCACCGTCCTCCGCCCCCCACCGCCACCCGCCGTCCTCCGCCGGTAGCCCAGAAGGGAGAAACTCGTTCATGGAATATAAATGGATCATTCGCGCTCTAAACGCGTTTCTATTCTTTTTCTATTCCAGGAATAGAAATTTTATGCAATTACTAAACGCTATTTTTTGCTCAGAAACTGTTCCAAGAAATAGAAATAGAAAAAACTATTTCTGATCAAAAATTGTTTCTGGGAACAGAAACGTTGCTATGCAGACCCTAAAGCTCCGGTTCAACTGCGGTGAATTCCCAATTTTGCCACTCCTAGTTGTCCTTTGCTTCGCTTTTACCCTCCCTGAAGATTGCTTTTCATCTCAATTTACACCCTTCTAGTTCCTATACGGAGATCACGGTGATCCATGAATTTTAATTCAATGTATAATGTGATCCATGAATTTTTATTACATATTCAATTTATTTCTTGGACTAAATGAAAATATTCAATATTGTCCCTGATCTTGAATGAATAGAAGGACTATATTAAACTTTTTCATATAGTTCGGGGAGTACATTGAATAAATTACAAGTTCATGGACCACATTGAATATTAAGCTAAAGTTCAAGGACCATGTTGAACAAATAAAAAATTTAAAGACTACATTATACATTTGGCCAAAGTTCAAGAACCATTTGTGTCATTATCCCTTTTATAGACGTGTGGATTGCTGAGCCCTTCAAGTCGTCGGCCAAAGGGAGTTTTTGAGAAAGAAATTAATCAGGTGAACAATTAAATAGTAGGGGAAAATATGGTAAAAACCAAACCTCTCTAACTAGAGGCATATGTCATGTTTAAGTTTGAAAAGACAAGAAGTGAAAAGTAATCAATTTAAGGTTTTCGAGATATCGATTTAAGATTGAATTGAACTCTCTTTCGCGAGCTACCGTTGCACCTCGTGTTGATTGGAGCCATCATTCATATCAATTAAGGGTGCGAGTATAACCCCGAGTTAATGCCTGGTGTAGTAAGCTCCGATGCTCTATTTAGCCAAATTAAAAGAGCTTTTTTGTTCGCATCGAAACGAGTGAATTTTTATCATTCTCAAAGGTAGATTTTACTCCAATTTTCTGCTTTTACTCACTCTTGTTTTCCTTTTTGCCTCGTTTTACCTTCGGAGCAATTCCTGTTCCTTCGATTTTACACCATTGAGTTGTCATTTCAGCATATTAAGCAGTTTGCATAGACCCTTCACATATTCGAAAGTTGCAACACCTCGAAACCAGGCGAGACAGCTTCCTAGAAATCTACTATCGACTATTGCAATGGTGGAGATATTGCGGATGTAAGGTGTCTACTAAATACCTTTATAGAAAGCCAGAATGCTCGTTTTTCACGGTTCCGTTATAAAATTATACCAAATAGGCTCTAGGACTTGACTCGGGTTATCGAGCATCCTTAATTGTAATTTTACTGCTCAAAACTCCTCCAACATATATTAGTGAGTAAAATAGCTGGTCTAACCTACATTTCACTAACCAAGAAGAGTCTTTCGACTATGTCTTCAAGCAACTGTCAATCAAGTTAGGTCTGACTGGTCAAATTAAAAATGATGGGCAATTCAACTCAAGGTTATTTAATTTGAAATGAACACATCAATGGGCACTCGAAGCATTCGAGAGAACCCAATTTCGTGAATTTAGATTAATAAATTTTTTTTTTAAATCAGGAGATAATGCGAGGCAGTATTGGACTATCTAATTTATTCCTATCTCTTTCTAATATGTCTTGACCCACGACCGCATGAAAAGTAAGACATTACTTCTGTTCAATCCCATAAAAAAAAACACAAGGGTTATTTTCGTAATTTTGCCAGTCACTGTTTGATCATCGCTAATCTGGGATTAGTGGGGGAGCTCTGTGGGACTTCTTTGTGAAATCAATTGCAGTGATTGGACTATGATAACCACCTGCCCATCCCATCAATTGCTTTCTCCCTTTTCTTCTTTGTTCCTCGAATATTTATTGATTTAATCATCACATCAAAGTTCATTTGAATATTATCCTATTGTAGTAGTGTTGTTGCCATATTCTTATTTTATTATATAGTACAAGGAATATCAGCTCATGACGCAACGTTTTGTCTAGGGAAGTTGGGTAAAACCCATCACGAGCTTGTATCATTTCGGTAGACAAAAGGGTTGACCTCAACCACCTATTAGGTTTGCAACTTCGATGAAAAATTTAGAGTGTGAATGATAACCATTCTGTTTTTGTATTTTTCTGTTCCTGGGTACAGGTTTAGAACAGAAATCCGTATGACAACGTAATTTCATTTTTCTATTTCTGAGACAAATTTTTAGCTCAGTAATAAATTTGGAACAAAAATGAGAGGTAAAAATTTTATACCTTTCTCTTTGTGGAATAGAAACAAAAATAACAATTATTCTTAGAATAGAAATTTTGTGTCGTTATCAAACGCTACTTTCTGCTTAGAAATTCATCTAGGAAATAGAAAATAGAAAAATCTATTTCTGGCAAGAGATTGTTCCCGAGAACAGAATGGTTATCTTTTGCGTCCTTAATTGTCCGAGCGAAGTAACATATGTAGGTTGATCTCGGAATTGAATAATGTTACGCTAATAAATGAATAGAACCGATGAGAATTTAATTTTCACGAAAATCTTTATATTATGAAGGTTAGTAATATGAAATTATGTGGATGGATAGGATGGCTCGAACTAGAATGTACATAGTTATGTGTTTTTTTATTGACATGGAATAGATGTTGGCAAATGAGGATGGGGGGTAAATCTCTAATTGGACCATGAATTAGTCATGTAATTTGGCACCTCCGGTGAGCATCAAACCTTTAAGTAGGGTGATGTATGATTTTTTGAAAAATTCATTTGTTTATTATGTCCATGGTTATTTACAAGCATAGACACCGTAATATACAAGAGTAATTCTTGTTTGTCCAGCATCGACACCACCATCGACATTGATGGTGGCACAAGTGTTGTGTTCGCTACTCTCGTACCACCACTACCTACTGATTGCGTGATTATCGCAATGTCTCAATCTCTTCAAGTGACCACCACCACAGTGGCAACACTTCTCGCTTGTTTCTTGCCCTCTCTACCATCAACCATTATGACCATGGCGGTGGTGGTCATTGTTGTCAATGATAGCAATATGTGACGACGGTGGCTACAATATTTAGAAACGGCTTTTTTTTTCTTTTACAGTAACTTATTTGAATTTTTTCTTTCTTTTCTTTCACTCCTAACCTAAGTAATTGAACATTTAATTGATTGGATATAACCGCATCTTGTCGTTATATACAGTATTTTCTCGAAAACAAGATAGAATATAAGCAATTAGGAGGAGTTCTTATCCTCCTCCATCAAATCCTACCCTAACCCCTCTCTTAACATAAGAGATGGAAACCCAAAAATAAATTAGTGGGTCATTAACTTTTTTTAAGTATAAGGTGGAAATTGGCAAGCCACTCAAGTCTCCATCTTCGTGATGGTGAAGTTCCCTGGTATGAAGTCAATGGAGAAAAGTATAAGCTAGATTTCTAATGCACGTGTGTCATACTTTGAGACCAAGAAAATAGAAGAAAATTGCTTTGTTTTACAACAAAATGGTGAAGAAGCACAATTCTACTCTCAATTTATTCATTCAATGATTTATTTATTACAATTTCGGCTCCAATCAAGCGAAATTCAAGCAGAAATTACGTGAGATATTATTGCAAATTAGGGTTTCTTTGCATGCATTGGCTTGTCTGCATGTCCAATGTGAGATTTTTTCTTTCTTTTGTCCCGCAAAATAAGTCGCCCGCGGTGTACGGTGCTCGAGCGGTGACCTCCTGTCTATATTCTTTTGGATTCTTCTGATTTTCCTTCGAGTCATTGCTCGTTCTACTTCTATAATTGCAAAATAATTGCAAATGAGGCCAATTTATATGAGGTAATCCGAAATTGACCCGACAACAACTATTCTTGACTGCAATTTTAGGGCTGACCATACAAACAAATAAATGTGGCAAGTAAATTATATTCAAGATTGCCGTTATTAGAGACAGATTGTTCATGATAATTAACAACGAAAAGGGATGTTTAAATATTTTTCTATCACGTATGCGTAATTCGGGTATTAGATACCTCACTTATGTGATTAAAGACGCTTAATTTCCATCTGTACACAAGTTTTACGAAGGAAAACAAATAATATTAAGAAGGGCAAGATCAATCCATTTGGCTAATTGTTGTTCTATTCTCTAGCAATTTTGCTTAACTCCGTAGGTTTACTCAGCTAAACAAACGCATGTGAGGAGCCATGTCAATTGAGAGCACCCATGAAAATGCCATTTATCCTCTCCAAAGCAACTTGCATTTATAGTTGGGAAATTATTACATAAACTTGAAACTTGATTTTCGGGATCAAGTTAAACCTGATGAAATTATAGTGAGATCCGCATAATTACAATAAGACACATGATATGGTTGTGTTCCTCGCGGAGCTTTATTCTTTCTTTTTTTTTTTATGCTAGAAATGACAATGGAAAGGAAGACAAATTCCAAGGTTTAACCAAATATTAATTAAATATATTTATCAAACTATATAGAAAAAGACATAGATGTACCATGCATGATCTCTTGCTTAACAAATTTGGTCAATCTCCCACATATGTTGTAAGTTTTTTTTGTACTTAGTTCAGTCTCTGTCATCAAAGCGGCCGAATAAAATGGTTTTTCTAAGGGTGTGCTTGTTCATCGAATGTATTTTTTCGGGAACTGATTTGATTGGTTATTGGTGTTTGGAATACGAAAAATGAATGGTAATTACGAAAGCATTTTCCATCGATGAAATCTTGTTGGTATAAAAGCCAGAAAATGATTTGGCATGCTTAAAAAAGAGGAAAGTGTTTTTCGAGCAATAAGAACTGAGACTAGTGTTAATCTAAATCATTTTCCTCTATTCATAAGTTTTTTGCCGAATAAACACACTCTGAATCAAAGGAAATTAAATTAGCTTACAAGGTGACTTAAGCTTCATTTCTTTGGCCCTCTCTTCACCATTCCTCTCGTATTGTAGTTTTCACCTGTAGAGATCAAAAAGACTAAAGAGCCTCGAGTCCTTTGATTTTGTTCTTGACGTGTTTGTGGGTTCTAAATGAGTAATTTTCTGAATCGGTAAATTCTAATCCATAAAAAACCTAAAAAAAGGAAAAAAAATCTAAAAAAGAAGAAGAAAGAAAATAGGCCAAAGTGGATGCCGCTCTGCAATTACTCTTGACATGGAGATCTCAGGAAATTG